AAACTAGTCCTGTGAAAATTTGCGCTGATTTTTGTTGTTTGACTTCTAAATGAATATATGTATTTTAATTATTAATATTATTTCCATCGTATTTAAAAGTAATTTCGTAAATAAAAGCATTTCCTACAGAGGAATCTTTCAATATAAAAATGTAAGAAAACAGCTAAAGATCACAAAATTTAGACTATTAGTATAAATTGAACATAAAATTTAGAATTTTAATATAATATGAATATAAAATTTTAATATAATACTTAACATTTTAATATAATAACATATTTTACATTCTCAGAATTTTTTCTTTTGAGATTTAGCAGCTGAAAATTTTGAGGTTCCTATAGGACAAATTTCGTGTATTTTTGTTTACAACTGTTAGTTTATGATCAATTTTAACATTGGGTGCAAAAATGAACATTTTTCACATATTTTACTTTTTCACAAAAACAAGAAAGCGGCTGAGATTCACAGAGATACGTGAAGTTTATAGTGTTACTTGCTTAAAATAACACATTTAACACAGTTGGTTTAAAACATTTCCTTCTGAAGATTTTCTCTTGAAGATGACCAACGTTCTAACCGATCTTCTGAAAATGGTCATGACAAAGTTAAAAGAAATAATTCAATCAAATCGTCGTATAAATGTACGACAGATTGCAAAAAGTTTAAATGCATCACACACAACAACTGAAAATTATTTAAGATGTCTTGGACTTGTTAACAAGCTTGATATTTGGGTTCATCATTAACACAACGAATCAATATTTGGGATACACATTTCATATGTAATGCAATCGACCCTGTTTTGAAATGAATTATCATTGGAAAATGCATTGTCTACAATAATGTTGAAAAATGCATTGTCTAAAATAACATTAATAAAAAAAAGGATCATGGTCCACTCATGGTGAATCAGCACAAATCACATCGAAAGACAAATTGTATCAGAAAAAGATCATGTTAGAAGTTTAGTGGGATAACAAAGGGGTTGTGTATTTTGAGCTGCTTCCACGCAAACAAACTATCAACTCAAATATTTACTGCTAACAACTTATGAAATTGGAGGAAGCAATAAAAGAGAAAATTCCAGAAATGGCAAATTGCAAATGAGTCGTTGGACAATGCGAGTTCCCATGCATATTTAACAACATGTAAGAAGTTAGTGGAGCTTGATTGGAAAGTGAAGTTGCATCCCCCATATAGCCCCGGCCTTGCACTTATCAGATTATCATTTATTTCGAGGTTTATAAAACCTGATAAATGGTAAAAACTTCAGTAATAGTGATAACCTCAAATCACTCTTGCGTTTTTTGCTGATGAAGAGCAGACGTTCTGTGAGCGCGGATTCATGAAGTTACCAAAAAGATGGCAAAAGGTCATCAAACAGAACAGAAGATACTTGTCTGATTAAAGTTTATTTTTTACATAAAAATTGGAGTTTTATTTCACACTAAAAATAGAAATTATTTGCCGACTCTATATGTTACATGAGAATCATATTATAAATTTCGCAATGCGAATCATGCATCGAGTAGTGAACTGAGTTCTTTTGATACCGAATTTCCGCTCAACGGAGAAGCCCTCCGGAGACTCCTGGCTTTCGAGTGAGAACATTCCGTTGTTCCATATTTCAAGATTGGTAACTGCATGTTGCTTAAGGTTATCCGAGTTTTCATCATGACTACCAATTTACCATTATTTATCAATGATGCATTATTAATTTGTCAACCATGGATTGTACTTAAAGACGAATTAACTTTTAAATAGGTTAGGTTACGATATATGAATATGAGAAACCATGCTAGAGCTCTCTGCCTGAGGGAAGGTCCTTTGAAAGAAAACTGGCTCGTATTCACATTATGAAGTTATCACATTTAGCGATGCTAGAAAAAAACCTTTCTGAGAAACAAGTTACTGCAGCACTCATTTAAACGGAAGGGTTCCTTGTCGAAACACTTGCGCTGGATGCTGTATCTCTGCTACGAACAAGGGGTATTTTACGAGTATTGAAATAATGTAAAATGTTCCACTTATAGCTCTGTCTAGCGTAGATTTTCGCCAATTGATCCGATAGCGATTTTACAAATAAGAGTAAACATAAAAACAGCCATGCACTAGCCTGGGTTTGAACCCCAGTCGAACTATTATTATTAAGTGGTCTTTAACAGCGGCTGAGCCGATGAAGACTAATGTGTAGTGGTATTCTGTCCCAGGTTAGAACCCAGACAAATGGGCTGCATAGATGGTTTTCCACATGTGTAATGTGAATACGAGCTAGTTTATATAGAAAGTACTTTACGATTACTCTTTCTCTTGCCTTCCCTTTTCTTTGGGCAAATAGCGTTTGTGTGATTTGCCATGTTAAATTAATGTATTACTCAGGCACTGGTTGCGCTAACTATTAAATAAGACGAATGTTTTAGAATATTTTCTTCTGACCGAAGTTTCGCTAAGAAAGCCCAAATTTATCAAAACTGCCATAAGAAAGTGGTTTTTTTTTATTTTGATGCTAAAATTCTTCTGGTACTCTATACGTTGATTTATGTACTTTTAGTAAATTGTCTTAATGTTTTGGACATATTTCAAGATGCAAGCATATACATTTTCTTAAAGCTGTCACAAAAAATGTTCTAGGTCATAGGCATGTAATTCCTTGCTGGTCAGAGTGCTTTAACACGCATAAAATGCAAATGAATATTTGCTAACGTTTTAAGACAGTCATGGTAATCCATTAGAAGGAATCGTTGGAGTTTGCAGACAAAATGGCGCACTTGTCTTCCATGGATTCGAATAAATTTGTATTGATACATAACTTTAATATGTAATTAATTTGGCAACAGTCTCATTGAATAATTGAGAAAAAATTTTCCAGGTAATTATTTATGGTGTGTCTTTGCCTTCAACTCCCTTCCACGGAAACTGCGATCGATCGTCGACGATCATGATGTTTAATATTCACTTCCCCGTCATACTAAAAGAAAGATCGGATTTAAAGTTGAATTTGGAAAGGGCTTTTTTTAAATAAATATAATCTGTTTCAAATTGCCTTCTGGAGTTAGCAAAGTGCAGGTATATAATATCTGCAAAATCATACCATTTTCAAACTTAATAAATTTTCTTATTGAAATTATTAGTGCATAAAATGTCTTCTGCGGGCTAGTTTCATAGTGCATGCTTTTAAGTCAAAAGGAATAGAATATGTTTTTGATTAACTTTTGATAAAACATTTCGAGAGATATTGAAACAACAACACATGAGAAATTTCAGAATAACCGGATCCGAGACATTTGAAAGTTACAACAAAATATTATCAAACATATATGTGAATAAAAATTGCTTCATAACATTTTAATACATTTCTATATTATTCGGACTGAACTACAGTGTACTCACGATTATCTACAGAAAAGTTTCCTGTTTTCGGAGTATTTCTACATCTAAACGCATGCACAGTAATAAATAAAATGAAGCGTTTCTTATTGAAAAAGCAAAGAACCTTAGATCATTTTTAAAGGGACGGAAATGAAAATCTCAATGTAGATAAATTACAATAAAAAAAGGGGCATGCATGAGCTGAAAGATATTAGAAAATAGGTTTCGGGATTAAATGGGTTCTTGAAACAAGCGATTTTAAAAAAGTAAAGGGATACAAGAAGAAGCAGTATTACTATTAGATTATGCACCTTCTTCAAGCAGCTGACGGTGTAATGATGGCTAAACTTTTATGGCCAAATGTTTAATTTAGCTAGTGGATCAAAGTGTAATATCGTCAGTGAAACGACTTCAACGTTGATTAATGTATGTCAAAGTAGCACTTACCTAACGCTTGGGTATCCACTAATTACTGTGTACCTAATACACGTGTTTTAATATCTTTATACATTGGTTAATGTACTTAATATCTTTATACATTGGTTAATGCAAGACACTGTACCACACAGTACTAATCTAGGGTCTAACTTTTAATTCACTGTATACTAATTACTTATTCCAGCATAACATCGCGCACCTAATATTTCAGTATGCACATGTCTTCTGTAATCTAATGATAATGATTCAAAGGATCATAGTGTACTCAACATATGAGTACACACGTTATGTACATATGCTACCGTATCCATGCTTTTGCATACACCTTGTAACATGGCACTGTATTATCCAGTGTCTAACATTAATTAGCTTTAACGCCACTGTATTAAGTACCAAATTTGTATATATGTTTATGTATTAGTATATTAGCACAATGAACACGTATGGTTATCTAGATAAAGGTGGACGTGGCGCTATACCGATTAACCGTATTGGTAGAGGGGTGGTACCCACGTCCTCCGTCGCATGTCGCACGAGGAAGTTGATGATTTAATGAAATTCTGGAAAAGAATGACTGTATTGAATGTCCTACGCAAAGGCTTGGTCGAAAGTAAAACCATAGCACTGTTCCAATCATGAAAAAAGATTCTTCCTAATACAGAAATCAGAGATTTATCTAATTGTGAAGAGTTGAGGCAATAACGGAAGGTATGTGTCAAAAAATTGAAAACTTAAACTTCTTTGAAAATGTCAATCAGGAAAACACCGAAGAATGGTTCGATGGTGATTCGACTGAATCGGGCTTTCAGTGCTCGAGAGATGCGAATATCGTTTTAAATATCTACAGAAGAGGCGGAAAGTGGTACAGAAATACAAGCGAAGAAGATACTGGCTATTACATTATAGTCCCAAGACATTTGTTGAAACACTTTTGGACTTCGTCTATCAAAAGAAATTCGAATAAAGTGATAAAATAACACTTCGAAAACTACGCAATGTAAATCGACAAACATTTAAACGTTCTCAGAAACAAAGTAAAATTGCTGGATCTTTTGAATAAATGCACACGATATGCATGAAAACTGATGGTATGGATTACCTGTGTTTTTCAGTTCGTGACCTGCTTCCCTGGCATTAGCCCCCATAATCGAGAGTACACTGTGGCTTTTAGATTATGAGAATCTGATACTCACTCGCAGTTTTCTGCAGGAGTGACCCACGGGTTATCTAAATATTGATCTTCTTCCTCCTTCGTTTGATCTTTGTTATTATCTTCCTCCTCCTCTTCTTCAGATTCAGAATCCGAACCTTGACCGAACATGGCCGGCACTGGAGCAATACTGGGCCTTCTTCCTCTCGCCAACGCGGCGCTGAAGTTTTCCGAACCCGGAGCTCCGTCCATCTTTGGAAGATCAAGGTGTTTTCCGAACTTTTTCATTAGTCCTATTTTGAACTTGGAACGAATTGGGGTCATTTCAAGTGATTTATAATCTAAAAGAAAGCAAAGTATGAAGCTTTACAATGGATTCATTTCTTTTCCCTGTAGTATGCCATTCAAATATTAACCTATGAATGGAACGACTGAAAAAGGGAAAAGGTTGCATGCTAACAAAGTATGCTGTGACCTGAAAAGCAAAGTTAAGTCATTAAGTAAGCCAAAATTGGTACGGTATATTTGAAATAGAAATTAGTACAGAAGAAGCGGTTAATGTTATCCTTAATGCAGTAGACGCGGTTAATGGTTTCAACGTGATCGTGGTTTTCGGATACGCGGTTAAATTCGGATATGCAGTTCAATTGATCGCGGGTTTCGGTTACTATTATCGAATTGCTGACGTTTCACTAGTTTTTATGTGAAAACATGGAAAATGCATCGCTAATATTGACCAGTTAATATTTTCAAGTAAATTTTTGAAATCGTTTAGAGACATTAGGTATTTTTTGAAAGCAGGAGAGATGAAAAAAAGAGCAATGCTTTCGCCGGGACTCGAACCACGGACCTCTCGAATACGCGTCGAGCGTGCTGACCACTACACCACGAAGGTGTGCTAAAAAGGCGGGAGAAATAGCTTATAACTGAAGTAAATTATCCAAACAAGGTCAAAATAAATAAAAAAGATTATCAAATTGCTGTAAAATGTCACTAAGTATAAGAATCAAAGAAACATTTAACACCTACACGAACACACGTTGCTTATAACGCAAAGGTACACATGCGGTCATTTTGACCGTGTATACATTTTAATGTTTTTTTTACCTATTTTAATATTTAAAAAACATCATAAGGCAATAAATTTTAAAGAACATTTAAATTAACAAACAAAGATTATTAAAATGACTGATAATAAATGCATTACAATTTTGAAACTTTTACAAAAGCAGAAAACTTGTGGTTACCAAACTTTGATATGTTATATACTGGTGTAATGCAAAGTTCACAAGCTTCCTCATTTCCAATCAAGCAGTGCTGCCAGTATCAGAACGTAAAGATGCTCGTCGGTTAAACTGATCGATTTTACGTGTTAAATAGTTATATTTCACATTTTACATAAAATTATTATTATTTTTTTAAATTTAAAAATATGAAAACAGGAATCGTTGTGTCATTTAAAACAGTTTTGTAACTGGAAGTACATGTCCGTCGTGAAAATAAGAGCCGTGTAAGCCAACACGGTGTATATTTAGTGATTAAATCCGTTTTAACCTTATTTGATTCATTTCATAAGTATACCCACACGGCTTTCACTAAATCGTTTTATGATTATTTAGGTTATACTTTGTATACTTACGTTATTTTTATGTTAGATATTTTCGTCATTTTTACGTTATTCATTTATGTTACGTTACATAGTTACACATTTACAATATACTTTGTATATTTGTATCATTTGAAAGCTTTAACAAAGCTTAAATATGGCAAAGTGATAATATAACAATAAGTGAAAGGATAAAAAAAAAAGCACTGGAATTTAAAGAAGCATATGTGTCGCGAGCTATAAGAGTCTCACTTCGCTCACTGGCAACTACTCAGTTTTCGCGTTAGAGCATTAGATGTGAGCAGAAGAATTTCTGACTTCTCCCTTAGAATAGAAATTTCTCTTTTTATAGAACTATCGATATCTGTAGAAGTGTGAAACATTTATCTTGAAACTGTGAATATGTAACTGTTTCAATATGTAACTGTGTAACTGGAATTCCAATAGAGTGATGAAATTTAGAGCTTAGAATCGAAAATTGAATTTAGATAAAACATTAAGAATTGCTGTTTAGACGAACATGTCTTTTAAACATTAATTTAGGGAAATAAAACTATTTACCTGATTCTCCCAAATTAAGGTGCAAATTTGATACATTTGGGCTCTTCGATTTTGAATTATCCTCATTGCCAGGGGCTGGTAAAAATGCACTGTTTTCTTCTTTGGTGATGTTCATGTAGAAGCAGATGTCCGATGACTGCATGAGATATGAGGGACCAGGATTTAACATGATAGGCCAAGTACCCGGTACATCTGTTTGCACTCCAACCAAAGCTACACCATACCTAAAGAACAAATAGGGGTGTTAAATTAGCATTTCGCATTTCATTTCTCTCAAGAGCTTAAAGGTTTAAATAATAAAATACAATTAAATAAATTTTATGCAATAAACTTTTATCTCAAATGCAGTTCATGCTGCAGTAAAAGGAGAAAAATAATTTATCATACAATTTAATAGGAATAATAGATTAGAGAATCCATCTACAATTTTATATCACCAGTAATAAAAACGTGGGGACCCATGATAAATTTAAAAGCATAATGGCTTTTATATTTGAAGATGCAATTCAATAGATTTCGGTTTTAGGCACTTCACACTTTTGTTATTCGCGATATAAAATTATAGATGAATTCTATAAATAAAGTTATTTAATCTATTATTCCCATTAAACTCTATGATAAATTATTTTTCTATTTTCTGCATTCATTATCATTTCCATTTTAAATAAAAGTTTATCGTGTAAAAACCTTATTTTAATTGCATTTTATTTTCTGTTTCTTAGTCTCAATTACACATTATCAATGATGAAAACTTTATTTAAACTTAGTAAAACACAAGCAATCGCTACATATAATAAAAGGAAGAGTCTGTCTATCTCTGTGTGTGTCTTTCATTCGTGCTGCGCGTAAGCTAATAGACACAGGCCTACGAAATTTGGTACATAGAGTGCATCTAGAAAAGAGCCAGTGCACCTAAAAGCGAATTTTTCAAAATTAGAATGAGTGTTCTTTATTTTATGTTTTTTGATGAAATCCCATCAAATCGATAACTCTCTCTGATTACATCAGCAACAATGGCATGCAGCCATTGTTGCTGATATATCACTGTCGCCATTGTTTCTGATATCAGCACTATTGCCTCGGAGAAATGAGGGCGATAATTCTGTGCAATTTTTAAATTTAGTGTTTCACTTGGATACTGGACGTTTCTCGAGAGAAATGATAAAATATAGAAATTTACTCAATTAATAATTTTTACCATTCTTGTTTTAAAAGCAGATAAAATATTTGTTTAATGATCTTTGAAATTATCCGATACATTTTGAGATTTGAAATTTTAAAATCTTAAACGTCGAATTATTTAAAAATCGAGTGATTTACAAAAATTCGCCGAAAGTTCAGAAATTAAGTTATATGTTCCATACAAGTTTCATCGAAAAGATTGTTTTCCGCTGTATTCGAGAGTGAAGTAGTAAAACTCTGATATGTTTAGTTTGTTCATTAAACGAAGATATCTGCGAAAAATTGTTTAAACATGAAATAAATAAAATCTAAATCAAAGTTTGAAAAAAAATCCCTTCATCCCATTGCTTTGTCATCGAAAATTGTGTGTGTGAAAAATTGGATATGCGTGTGTGCAAAATTATCAAGAAGTAGATTAAAAATCGATAATAAAATTCTATGGATTTCGTTCACAATGTGTGAACTAAATGAAAAGCTTATAAAAATGAACTAAGTCCAACTCCTAAATGGTTTGTCTTCATCCATTTCATTCATTACTATTTATAAATTTCGCTAAAAATGTTCTTGCTCTCAAAATTTTGCATTACGACTTTTGAATGCCTTCTAGCTTGAAATTTCATTCAGGATGGTTATTTAAAATGGAAGAAAAGTAGCTTCGTTGGAAACTGCCACTTTTCGATATTAACTTGTTTCATAGTGGTACACAAATTGATGTAAATCAGATTTCATTCCACTTTGAATGAGAAATATTAAACCCAAACATAAATGCGAAAATATTCAAATAAACTAAACGTAAGATTCTCGGCATAGTTGAATCAAAAAATGGAATCGAAAATTTTCATGATTCCATATACTTACTCATAAATATACATGAAGGCTAAATTCTTATTTAGAAAGTGTTTTTTTTCCCTTTACGGTTGAGAAGAAAGTTTTGTAAATAATGCTAGTGAAAGCTCGTTTCTTTTTCCAAGAAAATGTTCTTTTCGGACGATGTTGAACAGATTTAACGGTTCATTTATTGCACTGAAACCGCTAAGCAAATTTTGTTATGAAATTAATCCTGATGTGTGATTACTTGATTTACGGTTGCTTTTGGAACACCAATAGCCGTGCGGTAAAGTCGCTGCACACTGATAGTTCGGTCCGGGGTTCGATTTCGACGAATGAGCTGAATGCGTAAGCGTTTTTGTGGTTTTCTTCATGTGAAATGTATATAAGAGCCAATATCCCTTAGACAGTCCTTCACGAAGGCATGCCTCCTCCTAGGCAAATAGCCCTCGAATGCCTTTCCATATTCAGTTAAACCAAACCTTACAGTTGGTCTTCTTTGGAGAAAATATATTAGGCTAGCATTTAAAAGTAAACATGGATACAAATAGAATAAAAGCAAACTGAAGGTATCATTAGAAAGAATCATAATTTATTTACAACAACAAATTCCGAAAGGATTTAGATTTTAATATCGCATACAAGGGTTTTAAGATATTTTATGTCTTTGCTGAGCTCTCAGTTTACCAGTTTGCTGTTGTACTCTCTTCTACTAACACAGCTTTGATGTCTTTTTAGCTTTTTTAAATAAACATCGCTATCTTCTCACTTATGCCTTAACAGCATATTTTTAGAATTCCTGGTAGGGTATTAAATGTTACCATATTTTTTTATTTCATTTTTTATTTCCTTCCAATTCATTATATCAACGTACGTTAAGCTTTCTTAACAAGCTGAACTCTGCAACTTTTATTTTGTGTAACTTTCTATATTTAGAAAATTATGTTCACTCACTACCTGATGCACTTTAACACGCTCTTGTAGATGCATAAAGCTCGTTTTCTGAAATTAGTGCTTATTCATATTTAAAAATCTTGTGCAATCGAAGTGAAAATGGTCGCATATGATTGATTTAACATTAGAACTAGCTCTGTAGCGCCTTCGAAACCTGTGTTTCATTTTGATGTATGGTAATGATTTCGACGTTTTTGCAATATCGTGTTTTATGAAATTATTGCATGTGTACATATTAAGTCTTGCATATCTGACGTGAAAACGATCATATATGTTTAAATTAACACTTGAGCAAGCTCCGTAGTGTATGTATTTAGAAAACTGCTTTTTAGTTTTTGCTGTATGCTAATGCGCTCGATGATTTTGTAATAGCGTGTTTTATTAAAGTATCGCATATAAATACTTGGAGTTTTGCATATTTAACGTGAAAAAGATTGCATGAGTTTTATTTAACATTCGAAAAAGCTTCATGTTGCATGTATTTGGAAAACTGCGTTTTATTGTTCGCTGCATATTTATAAGATTGATGCCTTGCAGTTGGGTTATATATGGCAGCTTGCATGTAAATGGCAGAAATCTTGTGCATTCAACGTGCAAACAATTATATATGTTTAATTTAGTCTTCTTTTGAAGTATATGAAACTATTTTTCTTAGTACTAAAAATTCTGTTATATGTACTGCTAAGCCTAAAGTGGAGGATTTTGTAGTGGTTCCTGCCGTCTTTTTACCAAAAGTACTCGTTGTGCCTAAAGTGAAGGATTTTGTAGTAATTCCTGCTGTCTTTTTACTAAAAGTACTCGTTATGCCAAAATGAAAGGTCCTTTTGCCCATCGGACTCATGTTTGTGTGCATCGGCTAATTTCAGCTTCTTGTACTTTGGCTGATTTATGCATTTTTGACGCGTAGCTAATTTTTAGATTTGTATTTGCGTTTATGAAGTTTAATCTTCTTCGATAGCATAAAATGCGCGAAACTTCTAAGACTTCAGCGAATTATTAGTATGTCTTGTAAAGTACCACAGAGACTGAGAGAAGATGTAAAGGATCCTTCAATTTAACTCAAATAAATGTTAACAGAAGGCACCACTTGTGCTTATAGAATATCCAGCATTTATAACTTGGATCAAAGATAAACGAATTTGCTTAAGCTAAGTGCATGTAAGTTAGCCCAAGGGCTACACAGATGGATAAACGCACAAGTTGGTTCTGATCTAAAGTCAGCGTGACAAACCTAATGGCGAGAATAACGCAACGCCGCAGAATCAAAGGAATCAAATTAACAACGTGGCTTTCAGCAGACGGAACATGCTTTGATTCTAGCCTCTAAAATCTTCCTCTAAGTACTGTCTCCTTTCTGTTTCGTTTGAATGTAGGCGAGCTAGAAATTTGCATTCTGGTAGGAAAATGGGAAACGAGAAGGACATTGTGAGGTAAAATTCTTACAGTTTAAATTACTTCGGAATAAACTGTGAGCGAAACAATGAAGATAGAAAGAAGAAGAATTTATTTAAGCCGGGAAATAGACACAGCCTTAGTTTTAATACTATATAGTAACTCTGTTTGCCAGATAGTTTTAAAAACTTATTTTCTTATTGTATGGCTTAATATTCTCCTCTACACTGAAATACACATTTTTAAACTGTAAAATATCGAGTCTATTTTATTAAAAACTGTAATAATAATATTTTTACTTTTATTACAAATTTAATGAGAGCCAAATCCTCAAAAATTTCATTTTTGGCTTTCGGTGTTTATACAGAACTCTCAAAAATATTATTTTTTAGAAATGGGTATGATCCTATTTCACACTATTGAGTTACACAATTTACAATTCTTTAACTGCGTCTGTCGTGGACAGAAACATAATCCCAAATAAACACACAATCCTAGCTACGGAAACATTCATTTCCCCCTATTTAAAAGTCCTCAAGTACCATAATAACATATTACGATCCCTCAAAAGGTACAAATAAAATTATTAGCTTAATCTCGAAACTACGTTCTCGAATAAGTATTAACATTTTAATACCTAGTTTACATAATAATTTTTTAAAACCTAATCTAGAGAAGAAACTCTTAAATAAATACTGGCATGTAAAAAAATTCAAATTTGCATAATCGATTTTACAACTAAGGTGAAGGATGGGTCAACTAAGGTGATTTTACAACTATTATATGACATATAAGAAGAGACCGAGTGTTACATTAATTGACAGGTTACGTTAACTGATCCGCAGGCGAATCCTCCGTGTGTTACCCT